GCACAAGGCGGGCCGCTGTATTTCTAAAGCCTTGAATTCTTCGCCTCTGATGCCACCGCCAACACCCTGGCTCAGTCAAGCGGAGTGACTTTGAGATGCCCGCTGAGACTCCCCTCCGCCCCCTCCCTGGGCAGCCGGGTGTTTATCGTCTGTGTTTCACTCCACTTCTGGCTGCTTTCACAGTTCTCAATCCCAAGCCCCACACTGCAGACACGATCTCTGGGCTGGGCAGGACAGCACCCATATCAAGGAGCTGCCGTAAGCCTGAAAACATGAACACACCATTGAATGTCATTTGACTGCAGAGAGGATTTGAACTCGGCGCCTTCCATGGGAGACAAACCAGGAGCAAAATATTGCAGCTTACTAAGGAGAGTTGTTGAGGTCACAGCTCATCAGACCCCTGCTCTCTCACCTACACTGGGAGCATCTACACATGCATTAACATGCTTTAGTTAATGCCCATAAAATCTTGTACCTGCATTGGAAAGTACTAGGAAAATGTGCATTAGCCTGTCTTAATGCACATTAAGTAAAGAGCATGTTTTTGTGATGCTTTAATGCGCATTAAAATAAGCTAAAGCGCACATGTAGACAGGCCCCTGACACCCAGGCAGGCAGGGGTTAAACAGCTCTGCCTCTCACCCTCTTTTCCAGGGGAATCTGGTTTTCCATACAATGAAACATCTCCACCAGTACAATATTTAACTTCCTCCACAGTCTATTTGCTTTTTTCATTTGGGGAAGGTCTAAAAACCTCCCCAAAGGGAAATTTTCAGATAAAATTTAGGAAGCTTTGGTTTTCAGACAAATCTTTTTCTGTTTTGTTTTCTGACAAAATAGGACATTGTCAGCTGCAAGTTTTGATGCAAATATATATATATTTTAAACTTCTTTGATTAGAAAACATTTCAGGCTCACTTCTAAGACAGTTTCCCCCCAGTGAAATCCACACTGAGCTAACGAGCTGGAAACCAGCAAAGCTTTTCCTTGAAACATTAAGAAGTGAAATGCTTTCATGGATGTTTTCTGGGTGGTTTCCCCCCCCCCCCCCCCCTTTATTTAAAGGGTTCAAATGGGTCTCTCAGAAGGGACATAAACCGCTTCCAAAACCACAGAAAAGGACCCCGGGAGTCGGTGCTCTCCAGCCCGCTGCCCCCAGCAAGACCGCGCTGGTCTAAACCTTCCCAGCCAAATGTTTGCCCAGCCTGCACTTGAAAACCTCCAGTGACCAAGATCCTTTTTGGGGGGGGTTTATGTTCTTAAGAGCCCGCAAAACCGCAGTGGTATTTAGTGCAATTATTTGTTAAAGCAACATCAACGGGGCTGGAATATGCTGTTCCCAGGAGGGCTGGCGTCCCGCTGAACCAGATCCTGACAGCCTGGTGCATTGGGCGTTATTATTTGTAGGGCAAAGCCTGGACTGCCATCGAAGCCTGGTGTGCAAGGGGCTGGATACGGAGCCAAAAAAGAAGGGAGTAGCTGGGAAATCTAGGTATCTCCCTCTCCATGCTCTCTGCCTAGGCGAACCCTGAAGCATCTGTGTCTCCCCATCCTGCCACTTAATACCCATTCCCTGGTGCTGCCCTGCCTCATGCCATCAGCCAGGAAGGGGGGTGGGAGAGGCAGTAGTAGTGCCATTCAGTGGCCCCTGTTGGCATGTCACCACCCGAGAGTAGGAATCCCCCGTGTCTTGCCTGTGGACCCAGGTGACTGCCATGGACACCATAAGTCTTGCTGGTGGCCACCAGCATCCTACCAGAAGCCACCCAAGTTGTGACCCCCACCTGCTACCCCGGGTGAGGAAGCACCTCCTGCTCCACTGCATCTCTGCACCCCTGAGCTGTCTGCTGCTTTGTGCCTAGGATGCTTAGTAGGGACAAGTTGGTGGAGCACAGCAAATGAGCTTTGCTGGTCCCAATACCTGGTATCTCCATGGGGCTTGCGCTCAGTCTGGGGGTGGGATTTGGGCCCCCGGTCTCTAGACTCCTGATGGTGCAGGGTCCTCTCCACTCCTTGTCTGGATACCTGCTCCTTCCCACTTTTTGCTCTGCCAGCAACACCCCCACCTCCACCCTGCCTACCACCCCCCAAATCCCATCCCTCCAAAATTTCTGTGCCCGCTAAATTCCACCCCCTTAAAAGCAGAGTTTGCAGGGGGATGAACATCCAACCCGGCCCTGAATCCTCCAGGATAAAGGCAAGGGGGTGGACGGGGTGCAGAGAACAAACTCACCCTTGAAGACAAAGTTATAGTCTTCCTCCGGCGCTCCCATAGCTCACGGCTGCGCCTGGTCCCCTCCGGTGCGGGGTCCGGCTTTCAGTCTCGGCCTGGTTCCTGCCCAGCCAGGGTGGGTGGGTGGCAGGAGGGTTTGGGAGTGGTTTCTGCACCAGCTGATCAACCAGGAAGGTGGAAGGGAAAAATTCTTCCCTGCCAAGAAGGCCGATTTGGAAGCAGCAGGGGAGCAGGTGTGCAGGGGAGGCGACGGCAAGACTTTAGCAGAGCCGGGCGACCGAGCTATGGGCAAGGTGCAAAGGAGCTCCTCGCCAGGCAGGTTGGAGCTGCGTGACTCAATAGGGCGTGACCCGGTGTCGCTGTACAGGGTCAGCAGGTAGCGCCAACC